ATACAAAATTTCAAAAATCATAGCCGACGAACTGAAAAACAAAATCAACAGGAACAACGACCACAGCATCAAAAATTCAATGGAACTCACAGACAGAATCTCTACGACAAATGTCAGTCCGAACACTAAACTGTTCTCGTTCGACATAAAAAACATGTACTCCAACATACCAGTCAACGAAAGTATAAACATCATATCTAAGAACCTAAAACACCAAAACATAGACAAAACCTACATTAACCAAATGGAACACAGTCTAAATACAATACTTAATCAAAATTATTTCGAATCTGAAGGGGAAATTTATAAACAAACAGATGGACTAGCGATAGGATCCACACTATCTAGCATTATATCCGAAATATAACACAACTCAAAACTCAACTACTTGGGCATAACCATAGGATATAACCACAAAAAAAACACAATTTCAAATGGCAATATACAGGAAATCTACACAAATAAGCTCCACCATACCCGCAAGTTCAAACCATCCATCATCACACAAAATGGCTGCCTATAACGCATTCATATATAGAATGCTAAGGATACCACTCAGCAATGAAGCCCGAAACAAAGAACGGAAAGTCATATTCCAAATAGCGAACGAAAACGGGTTCTCCCAAAAGACAATAGATAAACTAGAAAACAGAATCAAACAAAAAATACAGAACAAGGATCAATCCACCCCAACAGACAAAACAACACAACGATGGACAGCATTTACGTACGTAGGACACCAAACCAAAAAACTAACAAACATCTTCAAACCACTGAACATCAACATCACATACAAGCCGAACACGAAGATAACACAAAAAATAAACAACTATGAAAAAGAAGATGACAAAGACCAAAATGGGATATACAGTATACAATGCTCGGACTGCAACAAATTCTATATCGGCCAAACCAAGAAAAAACTAATCCAAAGGTACAATGAGCACAAAAAGGCATACATAAATCCAATAGTATATAAATCAAACCTCGCAAGACACGCCATACAAAACAAACATAATTTCCCCCCACCAGAGAACATAAAACTCATAAAACAAGTCAACAAGGGAAACCGCATGGACATTTGGGAAAACTTGAACATCCATAAATTTAACAGTCATAAATCACTTATCGAGGAACAAGTACAAATACAGGCAAATTTACCTAAAGTACCTGAAATACCTGAGTTGAGACGCTCTGAACGTATAAACAGGCAGACGACAGGATGACAAGTTTAGTTTGAGGAGTACCTAGAAGATGACAGTACTGCCAACTGTCGAAAGCGCTCGCAGATAATTAATGTTGATTAACCCAACCACATACATCTTAAAATATTCTGGAAATAATGAGATACAGGGTGGATTTTACACTCAGGAATTACAACGAGCCAAGTACCCAGATATTCATCTAGTAAAAAAAGTTATTCATAAAAAGGGAGACAAGTTGTACGTTAAATAGTTAGAATTCGATTCATCGCATAATTTTTGGATGAATAAAAAAGATATTGAAATGTAAGGAAAAAATAATAAAGAATGTGAATATATAAGTATATAATTTGTTCATATACCTTATTTCTATGATTAACATCTAAAATATGATTTGTACATGTGACAGATTTTTCAATGCGACGTTGGAATCTTATTCGGTCACGTCCTATTTCTTTCCATGGGCTGCGTCTCGCCGTTTGATAAGCGTCATTCCATGAGTAAAGCAAATGAATGTTTACCAAATGTAACTTCTTTCGTCATATCTAAAAATACGCTTGTTATTCTTCTTGAAGGAGTTCTGGATGATGATACGTTACTTTCAATCCAAGAGTGTGTATACTTCAGGATTAATTTCTTTGATTGTTTCAAGCACCTTCAATGACCTGTTGATTATATTCGACTTCACTCCCAATTGAAGAATATTCATGACTACATCAAATCTCAGAGATTTCAATACATCCATTCTATATTGGAGAATAGGTATCAAAAGCCATAATATTGACAACGATTCACAATTCAAACGAATACTAGAGTCGTCATTGTAAATTCGAATAGTATTTGGGTGGGTCTGCTCAAATTCCACTGCAAATCTTCCAACATCTAGTGTGTTCACAATTTCTGTCGATGTTAGTGAACTATCAATGAATGACTTATTTTTGACTAATTCTGTCCACTTCCGTTCGTCAAATACTAGAGTTCCATTTCCAGTGTCAGCTATTACAACACAAGCAACACAATCTCGATGCACTGATATACACACTAATACATACTTTGATTTATCTGGATTTAGGTGAAACCTACGTTCTCCTAAAAATATATCTTGTCTATCTTGAAACCAATTCATTTTGAGTGATTATCACTAGTTCATTGTCTATTTATATCACAAGAGAAAGGAGAAGATTTAAGTTTTTTCCAAGGTTCAAACAACAACTTTGATCATATTTTTATTGGCCTATAAAGAAAACAAAATGAATTATTCATTTACTATTATTTCGAAACTGATAAGACAATAATTATCTAGTGAAAGACACTTTAATTTTCCCATTTTTAGAACCATAAAAAAAATATAATAATTACTAAAACTAAGGTTATACACGACATGAAAAATATTCCGTGTATTTCTCTTTGAAAGGTCTATTAAAAGTCATAATTTGCCATTCCTGTTGATCACTTTCTGAATTATTAGGGTATATCATTTTAAATTTATAGTTGAAATGTGTTGCATTCCATTCTGGAATCTTTATTTGAAACACTGGTAATTCACCATTATTCTCCTTTGCAAGGCTCAATCTTTTCCAAGTAGTTCTATTAAACTCTTTCTTTATATTTTCTATATCAAAACATATTGCAATATATTGAGCTTCTTTCCGAACATTCGTATATAGTATACCATTCACAATAGCTACCAAAATGATATGATAAATACCTATTTTAGATAACGAGAACGATTAGATATATGTAATGGAAAGTTCAAATTACTTTGAATCGTAGATTTCGTATTATGATGAATATAAGATTTCTGAAATATAATGTACAGGGTTATCTCTGAAATTACTTTGAATCATTTGAGATTCGTTAGGTACCGAATGTTGTTAATACTCAGACATTCTTTCAGGTAATTGAACATGAAAATTTACTTAATTTCATAAACAATTCTCATGATGCATTCAAACCACATTTTTGCTTCATAACTGTGTCTTCTTTCATCATAGCAAACTTATTCTAATAGCATACAAAAAAAAAAAATGTTCGCAATGAGGTACTCCCCCCCGAGGCACTGAAGTACGGGGTCCCCCATATTTGTTGATGCTCAGTGTGTGTGTTGTGTCGGATCCCACAATTTTGACAAATTCCTAATAACGTATTAGAAAACATGGACTGGGACGTTTACACCATGATGTGTGATGAGTCCCTAATTTTGACACATTCATAATAGCGTATCCAAAATTTGCTGGGATATTCACCGTGATGTTTTGAATCCAAATCACAGGAGATATATTTATCATTATAGCAAATATAAGATTTATAATGCTTGACCCTAAATTACTTGAGTTTCCCCTTGTATCACTACTTTAAATTGAAAAAAAAAATTATACAAATGCGCTAAAAAAATATATATTTTTTTGATGTGTGACGTAGGTTATTCTGTGTGTAACGGAATGAAAATTCCACCGCGCAAAAATATCTATTTTATACTCGTGGCAAGTTTTTCTTTTTCTTCTCATCGCATTCAAAACGTTTTTATTCAATTTTATTCAATTCGTTTTAATCATGCTGAAAATTTGTACCCAAAATCCCCATAATCCAATTTTGAATCGAATAGAACCATGATTACAAATCTCATCCGCTATCCTGGTCCTGCCATTTCATTGTTTTTTCTCCAACAAAATTTCTATAATGCATTGTCATAGCAATGATGAACACATACCAAAATCTAATTATCCCAAACTACATTAATTCACAGTAGATGCTCAAAGTGTTCGCGATGATCTGCCATAAATGTGTACCAGTTATTCTCGAAACGCCGTGTGACATTTTTGAGCATTTCTGGAGTTATTTGACGACATTCGTACCATTGAAATGAAATTTGACTTACTAAGCCTATGTATTGATATAATAAAAAACCTTTTGTTCCAGTGCTTATGTGCGTTAGTTTTTTCTCAATAGTACTTCAGTTTCATTAACGAGTAAAATACAAAAATGGTGTATTTTATTCAGGATAGTATAGAAATAATTAAATATTATTTCAAAAATAATGAATGTGCCTACACAGCCAGTAGAATTCTCAATGACCAAAACGCAACAAAAACATATTTTATAAATACGTTTTGGACCTGATTTCAAAATTTCGACAAACGGCAAATAAAAAACTTCAAATTGAAAACCCAATTAGAAACGAAGCGGTGGAGTTTCAAACTCTATTTTATTATCGACAGTGAATGGCTTCATAGCACCGGGTTGGTGGGAGCAGTCGATAATGAAAAGTGAGTTATTGCGAAATCTGGCAATATCCTTCATTGGTTCAGTCATTGCTCTATAGTAGTAGCTGCGTTAGAAATTTTCATTGCATAGCAGTTCAACTCCAGATTCCAACGCTGATATGGGTGTACTTCAGAGTTCAGAGATAGATGAATATTATCAATACTGGAATGTATGCTTGGTGTCATACCCTTTGTCATACTCTCGGATTGGTGGGTGTTTTGAAATCCCATATCGGAAACATCAGAGAGGGCTCTTTGAGGTAGCGATTCTAGCAATTTTGAGTATTTTGAGTCTTCAGATATAGCCCCAAACCTCTACGATAGGGCTTCGAGTAGAAATTTCTACCACTCTTACCTAGAGCGATTGCCCCCATGTTTCCATTATGGCGGTTTATTTTTCCCACTTGAAGCCTCAGTATATTTGCGTGCTGCTTTCAGAGCGATTTTAGTAACCTTTTTCGAATTTCTGGTTCGACGTTTTCCCTTTATAATATACGTTATTAGTAGAGCAGCCGCCTTTTTTCCGAAAGGTGCGTCTTTGCTTTGAATCTATACCAAGCGGATTCCTGAAGCTAGTGGTCCGCCCTTTCTGGATTCTGCGAGTATGCAATGTCGTGATCTTAACACGCGAAATTGAAGTGATTGACGACCAGATCACCACTTTTCAATCTTTTCTGTAATTTCGTACCAGGTCCACAATACCGATATCCAGGCGAGTGCAATTCAAATGGTAGATAATAAACAAGGGTATTTATTATTCCTCTACCCGCTTTATTTGACCCTAACTGAGCACACCTGCATCAGCTACTGATCACCATTTAAATAAGGGATCCAACAAGAGACCCCATTCATATAGTCCCCAACTGCCATACAATGCACATTGTTAAGCAAAAATAGCATTTTCTCATCGATAACTTTGATGAAAAAGTAGTAAGTGGATTGGGAGGTAGTGTTAAACAATGTCGTGGGTCTTTACTTCCATTATCCGTTCGGAGTCTCGTTATCAGGCCTTCAAACTGTCGAAAGACGAATGTCCCTTTGGTTGCGATTTGCAAATATTTATCTTTATTCGAAGTATCTTTGTCGTGCAATACTGGCTCCCATCAAAGGGTTGGAATTCTACACTTTCGCTGATAACGAGGGCGATATAGTGAAAACCATTGGACGCCAAACCCGATTTAATATTTATTTTTGAGGATATTATGTGCGAGAAACGATCATACTTCAGTATGGGCCGACATAAAAATGTGGATTGAGTCCCGAAACAGTTAATCCGAGATAATTATTTTATTGTGATGTTCAAACAGGATGATACGAATCATATTTTTCCGATCATGTATCCGACCATGTCTCACGCGATTTTAAGACATGTGTGCGAGTTGTTGGGGGGATAAATATGGATTTTTAGTAATTAATAAAGAAAGGCAAGGCGGGCGTTTTCGAAAAGGATTTGATGCTTTCATATATCCTTGATGTTCTTCAGACAGTCAATTGCGTGATAGATAACGTGTGTGATATTTCATTGTTCACAGTACCATATTCGAGCTATGGAGGTTGAGAACCATGACGAAATTTGACTAAAAAGTTGATTGTAGCAACGGATATAGTTCGGAAAAAAATTAATTTCATCAGGAATAGCTATTTTGGTGATCTAGCCACACCTGAAAAACTCTATGGGCCGATAATAGCACCAATGAAATGAATGTGCACCTAAAATGATAAAACTTCAGGAAAAAGTGCTTCACCATTGATCGCAAAAGCTATAGTTGAAAGTACACCCCAACTTAAAATCGAAGAATCTGAAGAGGGGTACAAGGAAAATAATGTCGAAGAGGCTTCTCTTATGGAAATGCCGTCCTCAAAATTGCATTCAAGAAAGCTGGTGGAGGCTATGAGGTGCAAAAGTACATACAAAAGTTACTATCAGAAAATTCCTCACATGATACATTCTTCAAGATTCGCATCAACCCTGAAACGGGAAAGATACAAATGGGTGTGGCTGACGTAGAGTTTATCGATAAAAAAATAATATTAAAGAAAGGCGGTAGAAGTGTCGCTACTTATCAGGGTACTTAAAAACTACATGAAAGTGCCTTCACGAAATATATCCAGTTCTGACATGGATGTTTATGGTGACATGCTCACATTAACAAAGGTGACATATAAATATGATATAAATATAATGAAGTTATCTTACCGCTATTATCCAATGAAAACCAACCTGATATTACTGGTATATAAAAAATCCATTCTGCTGAGACTACATGAGTAATGAAACGTGTCAAATCATTTAAAATCCCTCAGACCGGAATAAAAAACTTTGCAATGTGAAAACCTTGGATTTTATTTTTTTGGCAAATGCTCAAGAATTTCCAAATTATAGACTGTATGTAGGTTACAACAAATATTCGTGGAAGCTGGATTTGAATGAGATGTTGATAATGAGATGCAAGGCCTGTGAAAATTGATAATTATTCTATAAGCCAAAAATTTTGTGTTAAGCAAATTTTTCAAAATTCAGCAGGCGAAATAATTGCATTCGTTAAAAATAAACGTGAATATTGTGTGGCAGTATTTCCTAGACTAGAATACATAGAAAATTATCCAATTCGAATAGACCCGATATAAATGTGATATCCCAAAATATAAGTGAAAAAAGAATATACGGGTCATATGCCTATATGATTGGCCTATGATTGGAATCGATCCCTTTGATTTGGATGAAAATTGGTCAGAAGTTTTCATTTATCATATAAAAAAGTTCTGCCAAAGGCAAAAACTAAAAAAAAATTATAAGCTAAGCAACTTTGAAAATTCCACTATTTTTCCTGTTTTTCAAACTTATGCTTCAAAGATATCGAAAACTATTATAATTACTCAGCTCAGATCGCTGGGCTTTTGAGGAGATGTTTAAAGGTACCAAACATTTTTTTAAAATGTTTTTTTCCA